GACATATATATATATATATATATATACATATATATATGCTTCTTCGAATTTTTAGAATTCGCAGCGATATCCTGCAGGTATCCATCCGTCTCTCGATTCCGAATGTAAATATAAACGTAGCGTTTGTTCTTAAAAATCGTCAAATATTGATATTCTTCCGAGTCACGTACGCAAACTCTGTCCAACCTGTGTTTCGTACGTGTAGGTGTGCGATTGCCAGCCCAAGAAGAGAAGGACATTCGGGCAAAGATTCTGCACCATCCTCCTCTTCTTTCTCAAGAGCAGCATCGCGGCTGGCCTCGTCTATTGGACGCGTTCCGAGGGTCTGTGGGGGAGCAGCGCCGAAGTCGAGGACCTGTATCGAAGGATAATGGCTACGATCTCACCTTCCAACGACTTCGAGGATTACTGCAGAGCGGAAAGAGAGGATGTAATTCCACCTATGATTTCTGTTAACGTAACCAAAGGCTGTCCCAAAATTCAAGGAATTTTTCACAGAAAGCATTACATTTGAAAATTATACATTTTTTTATTGATTCGTAAATAGCATATGGCATTTTGCAATTAAATGTAGTTGAATTTCGTCGATACTTTGGATGGCATAAACCTTAGACTTTAAAAAATTCCAAAGAAAAATGTCCAACGATTAAATCGCACGATCTGACCGGCCAAAATTACAGCAGGAAACATCAGCTATTGAATTGTTTCTCGAGCTGTATTTCATTGTTTTGTTGAAACCACATCCATAAATCTTGCGATTTAGACGGAAAAAATTGGATTATCATTAACCGTTGTTGCCTAACCAGCCGCATTTTCGAAGAAGAATGATGCCTAAAAACCAAACATTTGTTTCTCAACGATCACTCGTGGATTCTTCGAACGCGACAATTTCGTCGATTAACCGAGATCCATCAAGATGAAAACGAGCCTCGTGATTTTGTTCGAGAAATCTTTTTTCTCATTTTTGATAATCTGTCAGCTGTCTTTTTTTTTTTTTCGTTGGCAACACTTTACACGAATGGCGCAAAAGTTCAAATTTTGGGACACCCTTTAGTGCTTCCTTCCCCGTTCGATCGATTAAAAATATTATCACACGCGTACGTATGTTTTCTGCAGATCGAATTGCCCCGCTTCAATCAGATCAAGTACAAGTTGATAAAGAAGTACAATCAGGCCGTGTTCACCGTGATGAATTGTATCCTGAACGCGTCGACCGCACTGCGGAACCAGCTTCAAAGACTCATGGTTCCGGAATCGGACAAATCCGAGGAGGAGGAGGAAGATGCGGCAGAGGATACCAAGGAAAAAGCTTGACTGCTCGCCCTCATCGAAACACAAATCCTGTGCGTCCTATCGTTTGCACTCGTCTTGTAACTTTTTTTTTTAAGAAAAAAAAAAAAAAAAAAAAAAAAAAAATCCCAATGCACGAATAAATTTCTAAAAATAACTTTCCCCTCGTTGTTTTCTAAGATAGAGATAAGAGAGTAAAGGGGACTCGCCTCGGGAGAGACGATCGGATAGCGTTAGTTTCGTCGATAAGGATCGTTCCTCGAACGTTTCTTCTCGCGGACGTTAAGTAAGTTACGTGGAAATGCACCGTGCGATAACGCCATAGAGATTAAAATTCCGTTCACAGGCTGCTTCCATTTTTTTCTTTTTTTCCTTTTTATCTCTTTCCAGACAGTTGCATGTTCGAGCAAAATTTCAAGCTTTTCTCTACATTCTGTGTTATATACCATTCTCGCTACGTAGCAAGGAGTTTTACACTTTCAAGGTGAAAAAGTAATCCCCGAAAACGCGACTACCTACATCCAACCCTACTTCTTTTTAAAACGAAAGAAGGGATCAGGCGAGTCGCTAAATTCGATCTTATCGACTCCCTCCGTGATTCTCCAATTTCTCCCTCGATTCCCCCTCGTTGCAAGCTTTTAATATAAATTTCGGATTCACATTGGAATGGAGAGGAATCCCATACCTTCGAAACTCTACGTACGAAATTCGAAGGATCTCGATGTTGGCGATCGTCAAATTTATCGCGGATGTTAATCCTTTCAACCCTTTCGCCCTTACGATTTACGAAGATCAATGGTTGCTTCAAATCAGTTTCGCGTCCCTCCTCCAATTCTAAAGTCGAAATTAACGTAACATTATACGTTTTATAATACGGATGATTAATTTTCAACATTTCCCTCCCCTCCTTATCTTTTCATGGGGTTTAATCTACCCCATGTTCTAACCTTTGACGTCCCCGACGTGGAATGTTTCGAAACTTGTTTCAAGCAATCGATATCGTGGAAGAAATATCATGGAGAAGGGGAAAGAGAGAGAGAGAGAGAGAGGATTTGGCCAGCCCTCGGGGGGTAAGGGAGATTCAAAGCTCGATTCAGTTCGGACAGTTAAACAGTTTATTCAGATCGAAACTTTATGTAGTATATACATACGAGTTTAATAGACGATATGGAGTTCTGATATGAAATCACCCCCTCCCCCTATACAGTGAACTTAAAATACAATTCGATTTACATTTTAACTTCATCTGATTATGTACATGTATTCGTTAGTCTTTGGATTCTATATCGTATCCCTCTCTCACAGGCAGCGTTCTTCTTCTTCTTCTTCTTCTTCTTCTTTTTCTTAGCCAAGAATTCGATCATCATCGAAATTTGTCGAAATATTTGTTATAAAAAAGAGGAGTTTATATATATATATATATATGTATATATAGAAAAAGAAGAGAGTTCCGCAGAAGAAAACTCGAATCCCGTCTCGTCTCCCTGTTCGAGGGGAAACGAAACGTTGTCGAGCAAGACGATCGATTCTCGGCTTCTTATCACGCTGGAAAAAAAATTCGATCTCCCGGAATCACGACGTTTTCCGTTTTATATTTAGGCTAATGTTCATGGACGTGAAAAAAGCGTGATCCCGTCGATCGGCTCGTTTTTCACCCCTCCCCTCCCCTTAAAAATATCGCCTTAAATTTCACATCGACGGTCGATAAACTACGAGATACCTTTCGATAGAAAATTTGTCTATTCGTCGCCATGTTGCTCTTAATTAACAAAGATCGAGTTCGACGAGGAACGTTTTAGGAGGAAAATAACGAGCCGCCGACACGTCACTCGAGCGAG